CTTGAGCTCCTGCGAGTGCGCCTGGATCTGGGAGCGGTCGGCGCGTGGGCACCCCGACAGGCTGCGGGCAGAGGGCGCTGTCAGGGCGCGTGGCCCGAGAGAGGGGGACGGGCGGCGGGTGGCGCCGCTGGGCGGCTGGTGGCTGACTTGGGTCCGGACGAATCTTGGGGATATCCGAAACTTTTTTTCAACCTCAAACATTTTGTCAGCGACGTAATGACCATTTCCCCTCGCTAGACGAAAATTTGTAATTGGTACACTTTTCGTTCTCGTGTTTTAAGTCCATTTTCTTCCGGTAGAATAGCATCTTCTTAACAGGTAAGAGGAACTATTATGGCATTATATATTGAATATAACTTGATGATTAAACTAGACTACTTCTCATAATACTTTGATTTTTTAACTTCCTTGACTGCACCTAAAAAGCCTTGTTATGGAATCTTAAGTCGTAGAATAGAAGTAGACGATTTTATTATGAAAAAACCCGAACGAACTTAGTTCACGACTCTGTTGGTTACCTTCATGAATATGCGAAGTCGTCTGTCCAACCATTGCTACTGTATGAAAAAATGAAGGTACATATTTCTTCTCAGTTGCGATCCTGTAAGCGTAAACTAGGAATACAAGATCACTAGTAGCTCATTACCGGACACAACTCCTGAAATTGCTGTCGAGAAAAAAATTGGATTTAATCTCAAATGAGTTAAAATATATTTATGTAACACTTTTAGTTTGATTACGAAGAATAATACCTAAAATGACATGGAGAATGTTATATAAAGTATTTTAACTTATGGATTTAAAAAGTTAGTGTAGGAATGAAGGTTATCAAATTCTACAATAATGCACGTTCACTTTTTTTAGCATTTTACGGCCAGACGCCTTCGCATGTATTTTCTCCATATTCATTTCTTTTGTTTTTCACGATTCTTACCAAAAGGTTTTTGTAGCAGCCGCCCAGCGTGGCACCCTTGAGATGCAATAAGCCAACATTCACGAAACGTTGTTGCAGGTGACCGCTAACAGGTCGCCACAGCAACGTTTCTTACAGCGACAATGGGTAACATCAACCAACAACATCAACATGAACATCAACATCAATAATACAGATGAACGGACAACCAAAAAACGTTCGAATGAGGGAATGACTCGAAACTTTTTTGGATGTCGCGTTCATAAAGGAACGGATACATCGACACGAACACGGAACGGAGCAGGCACACCAAACAGACAGACAAACAGACAAACGAACCAACGAACGAGCAGACAAAACAGACGGACACCAAGTCGGACAGGGTAAGGACCTGATGCCAGTGGCGGTCTTTCTTTGCAAGACGAATTAGTCCTGCAAGTGGCATTGCATTTGGCTTTTTCGAACATTTTACGCTTGTTTGCTCAGGCTTGCCTATGACTACACACATAGGCTTGGATCGTGGACAGGGTCGACTCTGACTTGAATAATTTGGAAGTGAAAATACTATTTAATTAAATGTCATTTTTATAACGCTGCCCACAACAGAAAAAATAGTTAGGGTGGAACTCTTTGAAAATGTCTGCTTTTTATTACTCAATAATCCACGTGGTATTAGGCGTCTTTCCCCTTCCTGATGCGTCAACGCGAGACCGAAATACAAGAATGGAAATAAAAACACAAATAGCGAACGAAAGGTATAAATGTAAAAAACGTATGCACGTAACGATTTCTCGACAAATGCAAACAATAAACTAAAGAACCAACATCTACATATCTTTGACAAGCATGTACCAACGATTATGTTATACTTCTAAGAATACGTTAAAACAGAAAACATTCATGAAAGGAGCGGTCGAGATATTTAAAAAATGTTAACACAGTACACGAAAAGAACAGGAGAACATCGAGCTTTGGATGCAATTCGAGCGATCCAACTAGGCCATAGCCGCTTAACCTGCCAGACAGAGCAACGTCATCGGCGAGGGAGAGGAATGGGGGGGGGAGGGAGTCACGCGAGGGCTTTCTGTCACGGGCCTGGAAAATGAATGGTCGAGCATGCAGCCCTTTCAGGACCTCACTTTGAGATGGAATTTCTACAAGTTGAAGAGTGTTTCAAAAGTTCTTCCATGTACGCCAACAGAACGCGCACATTACAAACGGTTATTTTTAAATCGAGGCCGCATATTTCGGCCCTATCTTCTGGCAGGTTAACGACAGAGGGCAAGTCATGATTTCTGAGCATTTCCATCCATATAATACACGATCAAAAACACACTTAAGCAAGACAAACTACTTGGGAGATTGGACAGAAAAAATAATGAAAAAGAACAAATAACAACAAAAGGAAGACGCCAGAACGTAAAATATCAAACAAAATACGCCAAACGGTAAGGGAAGGGGTTCCAACCACCATCGAGATAAAGATGTAATATAGATAGCTCATGATGCTAGCTGCAGCCCGTTTTACACTGCAAGTCGCCTCGGGCAGCCCGCGGCGCTGCCTTAGGTCCTACTTACCTGGCGAACACGTGACGCCAGCGAGAGGGTTTGTGTCTTTCGCTTCGCGCTTGCGACGTGCGTTAATATCACGTGGATTATTATTGTGACAGTTAACGTTTCATGAACGCATTTTAATTTTTGTCACTGAACGACGGCGTCTCGGACATTCCCAAAGAGAAAAAAGAAAAAAAAAGCGAGAGCAAGTTAATAGAGACAGTCGAGTCAGAGTGAGAGAGCGTGAGAGAGTGAAGAGTGAGAGTGAGAGCGAGAGAGAGCCGCAGCCGCGCGAGACGACGTCGCGGAGTGTAAAACAGGCTCTGAGAGGGGGGCGGGCCTGGGGGTCCGCAGACAGAGAACAGGGGGACGGCCAGCCTTCTGAGGGGGTCTTGCCTTCTGTGGGTAGCATAGTTCCCTGACACATGACCCATGCCATCGCAGCCGTGCGTGGGGCACTGTATCAGCTCCTTCCCGTCCCTGCCGCGCGGGGCGGGGCGCGCCAGGCCGAAGGGCCCGCCTCCGCCTGCGCCTGCGCCTCCGCCGCCGCCGCCGCCGCCGGCGCCAGCGCCGCCTCCGACGCCGCCGCCTACGCCGCTCGGCGGGCCCACCATCCGCGCGCGCATCGCACTGCGACCGGACGGACAGACGCGCGCGTCGGGGCGGTGCGGGGGAGGAGCGGGCTCCCCGCGCTCTCGGACGCGCTTCGGAGAGGTCGGGGGCGGGACGCGGGACTGGTCGTGACGGGGAAAGGCCGGGCGGGCTGCGGAGGCTTCTCATTTGCTTCAATCGAGGTACGATAATCGATTATCAACTGAAAATTTGCTTTCAGAGTCTCTAATCGTTTCGTGATATCATCGAAATGATAATATAAATTAAATATTATGATTATTTCGTCTCTCACCGACAAGCAAAAATGATTACAATATACGAAGTTGTTTCTTCCCTCGAGAGTTCTCTTATTCAGAGTAGACTTACGAATTATTTGTATGGCACATTTCAATGCAATATAGCATATATTAACCAGTTGAGTTTACTAATTCGTAGTTTATATTTACTGAGACATGTTGAAAAAAATACCAAAGAGTTTAAATATTTATCAGTTTATCGACAAATAGTATGTGTTGGCATACCATACTTTGGAAATGAAAATAAACATAATTATCACAATTCCAGCAATGAAAATGAGAGACGAAAAATACATTTTTTTGAAATAAATAGTTATCGAACATATTTTTCATTTTATAGAGTTAATTACCAATCCGCAGCCCCTAAGGGAACACGTACACACACTCACACGTACACATACAAATTCAACAAAAAAGTATTTGTACACACAGTTATTAAAAGTGACCGAGGTACACAGCTCACGCACTGACAAGAAGCCAAGCACACACTGCTGCGACTGGCGAATGAGAAAACAAACGAGCACGAAGATTAAGAATTAGAGTCTCCTTTCTCATAAATTTTGATATGACATGCTAATTTATATTAGCATACAATTCAAGAACATCATAACTTTTTTCTTTGTGTATCACAATATTTTTTGGTGTAGATGATACTCAATATTTATTCTAGAATGAAGTTGGAGACATGCTAACAAAAGAGATGTAATAGGATGTATTTAATCCAAAATAGTTCCTGAAATTGAAAGCAGTTAAGCGCAGAAGGGCAAAGCGATGACTTCTATTCAAGTGAAAGCCATAAATAGATAAAAAACACGGAATCGCAACAAAGTGAAATAACACATTCACGAAGAGTGTCTCAGTCGCCAGTGAGCAAAAGCATGGCTAGCGTGATCTTTTACAGTCGTGTAGCTTGCGAAACATGTGCAGAGCTTGAGCGAGAGAAAGATTTAAGAAAGAGAGCAAAATAGTGATACCAAACTTCATCTCGTCTTAAATTCTAATGCTTGCTCGCTGATACTGCCTTCAAATTTCCGAGGATGCTCAAAAGATTTCTCGCGCGCGGAAGAGGAGAGCGAGACAGGAAGTTGGCGAGGGAAAGGGTGGGGAAGGGAAGGGAAGAAGCCGGGAAGGCAGAGGGCAGGGACGGGGGGCACGCGAGGAATTACGTTACAGCTTCGCCCTGCCATAATTAGCTTGGCGAGTGGCCCTTCAAGGGCTCTCGCGAAGTATACGCCCGTTGGTTGCTGCTTAGAACGACGCGAACGGAGCGGCGCGGCGCGGCGCGGCTCGGCGCGGCGTGGAGCGACGCGGCGTGGAGCGGCGCGGAGTGGTAGGGGCGAGGCGGTAAGGGACGGGGCGAGAGAGCTGGGCCCATGCAGAGCTGCCTGGGAAATTGCTGCGACTTGTTCCCTACACCGCCGCCCGGCTCCGCGGGAGCATTGGAAACGATCAGCGATAAAATTAACATTCCGTT